TTGCAGCGGTGTGTGTGTGTGTGTGTGTGTGTGTGTGTGTGTTCCTGTCACCGCCTGCTGGAGGGAACAAGCACTGGTCTGTGTGAATGTGTGTATGTGTGGGGGGGGTGGCACACACACAGACACACACACACACACACACACTCCCCCCCAGTGACTCTCTCCCTTCCCTCCCCCAGGAGCCTGACCCCGACGGACTCACCTACGCTGAACTGGACGGCCAGGCGCTGCAGGCCAAGTGGGGGGGTCCAACCCCTGCCCCTGCCCCTGAGCCTGCCCAGCCCAGCGTGTACGCCGTGATCAACGTGAGCCGGGGGGCCCCGCAGTGAGAGTCCCCCGCAGCCATGGGGCACCGCCCCAAGGGGGCGACAGACTCACAGACTTTAAGGCCAGAAGGTCCATTGCGATCATCTGGTCTGAGCTGCTGCACATCGCAGGCCACAGAGCCTCACCCACCCACTCCTGTAGCAGACCCCAGCCTCCGGCTGAGTCACTGACGGCCTCAAATCATGGGATAGAGACGTCAAACTACAGAGAATCCATCAGTGGCTCTAGTTTAAACCTGCCAGTGCCCCGCGCCACAGGCTGCAGACGAAGGTGAACCCCCCCCCCCCAGGGTCTCTGCCAATCTGACCTGGTGTGGGGGGGAATTCCTTCCTCACCCCAGATACGGTGACCAGTTAGACCCTGAGCATGTGGGCAAGACCCACCCGCCAGACACCTGGGGACGGATTCTCTGTAGTAACTCAGAGCCCTCCCCAGCGAGTGTCCCGTCTGTGGCCATTGGAGAGATTTGCTGCTGTCAGTCGCGGACCCTGGCAGAATCTCCCCAAGGGATGAGCCGCTTTCCCTCAGGGGGCACAAACTCTGTCTGCTGCCAAACATCCTTGTCTCGGGAATCCTCCCGATCACTCCCGACCTGACAGCCGCACCCTGGACTCGAACCCACAGCCCCGCGAGCACCAGCCCCTGCAGTACCAGCTAGAGGAGCTCCCCTCGGAGCAGCCCCTGGAGGGCGCCGGGGTCCCACTCGCTGGCCCAGCTGGGCCAGTCCCTGCCTGCGTCTCTCAGTGGGGAGTGGGGGTGGGACCCGGCATGGGGGGGCACCACCTGTGTCTGTGGGAAGCCTGGGGCACTGGGGCTGGACGCTGGATAACTAATCCCTTCCCAGCCGGATTCCCAGCACCACCCGCTCTGCCTGCTCCCTTTCCTTAGGGCCGGGCACCCGGCATTTCACAGCCACGGTCACCCCACCCGCCTGCCACTTCGCAGCCAGCTCCTGCCTGGGGGTCCCCATCGAGTCTAAACCAGCCGCCCTGAGTTACAGCCTCCCCCTCCGACACCCACCGTCGTCCCCTGTCCATCCAGGGCCGCACTGCGAGGGTGCGTTTGGCCCTAGCGCTTTCCAAACCAGCATCTGGGTCGTTAAATCCCTCAGGACCACAAGGGCTCATCGCCCAGCCCTGAGCCGCACCCCCCATCCCGTAGAATCCCAGCCCCCCCACACCGTGAGACAGCCTCCCATGGGGACACTGTGTCTGGCCCTGGCGCTGTAATAACAGTGCTTACTGCCTCCCCGGTGTCTGTCCCCCTCCTCTCTCTGCAGCGGGGTCCCGCCACCCCTTTTCTCTCCCCCCTTTCTCCCTAGACTGCCCCCGCCCTTTTTTCTATTGTACAAACCCCCAGAGCTTCCTGCTCCCCTGCCCCCCAAATCTCCCCACGCCAGTGGGCGACTGTGATACTGGAGCCTCCAAATGTCCCCTCGTGGGGGGTTCAGCCGACGAAGGTGAGTGAGAAGTTCAGGCAGCGTCACGAGAACCTGGACGAATGAACGTTGGGGGAAAGTTGGCGAGACAGAAAGATGGGATTAGTCCAACCCAAGCGGCCGCCGGACAGACACCACGGGCTGGGCTGGGGCCCGCCTGGGACATGGAAGAAGTGGGGGAGCAGAAATCCGTGACCCAAAATTAGGGTGTTGGAAACAAGGCCTCATTGGTGGATAAAATATTGCGGGGATGGGCTGTGCCACCCACCATCCCTTTTAGGGGCTCTGTACTCACCGCTACGGACCCAGCTCCATGGAGGTGTCCTGAGCAGAGCGGCCGGAGAGAGGGACCCCGACGCCATCGCCCCTCCCCCGGCTGAACCCCCGACCTGGGAGGAAACGGCATCAGATTTTAACAGCAGCTGCGGTGACGCCGGCTCCAGCCCAGCTCCGCCGGCTCCTCGGCCCCCCCAGGACAGTCGCTAGCGTCTCCGGGGCCAGCGGGGAGATGCCCAAACCCAGGGGATTTTCTGGCTAGAGACTCACTCCAGCGAACGGGGCTGGGGGCTGGAACAAACCCCTCGTTTCACACGGCACCTGCCACAGCTCCCCTGGTTCCTGCTCCACTGTGTCTGTAACAGCTGGTCCCAGGGGTCAGTGGGGGGGTTGCCATGGGGCTGAGCAGGCTGCAAGCTCTGGACCCCACCCCTGGCCCGTGTTTAACCCTGTTCAGTATGGGGCAGGGGCTGGGGAGATTGAGGGAAGTAGGTTGGGGATGTTGGGAGGCAGGTTGAGGGGAGAGGGTTCGGGATGGGGGACAGGAGTTTCAGGGCAGACAGGTTCCCCCAAAGGTCAGAGCTGGGGGGCAGGATTGTTTGGGCGTGTGAGGTGGCGAGGGGGCAGATGGTGCCCCCCAGGAGGGAGCTGCCATTTCCACTCCTTGGCAGCTTCCCCTCTCACTGCCCCCCTCCTACTCCTGCCCCCTCAGTCCTGAGTGTCCCACTTTTTTCCCATCAACCTCCTGCCCCCCCAATGCCCTACACCCCCTCTCTGCCCCACATTCCCTGAGGGAGTTCAGGGGGTATGAGAGGATAGGGGATGGGGTGGGCAGAATGGGGGAGGGGACTGGGGCATGAGGGGACATAATGGGGGGGGTGAAGGGACATGGGACAGGGGCAGAATTGGGGGGAGAGGGACCTGATGGGGGGCATGTGAGGAAACTACAGAAAGGGAGAGGGGAGACAGGCCGGGAGCAAAAAGGGGGGACATGGGATGGGGGTGGGGGACGTGTATGGGGGGAGCAGACACAGGCCATGGGTTAGAACAGGGGAGATGAGGACGAGGGGATATGGGACGGGGGTGGTGTTAGGGGGACGTGATGGGGGGAGGAATGCAGGGCCAGGGGGCTGAGGAGCCAAATGCATGAACGTCGGGGGTGGGGGGTGAAGGGCAAATGAGCTGGGGCATCTGCTGGGGGGGGTTTCTCTTGAACTCTGTCCCCATGTTCTTGCCCCCTCCCCTTTCTGGGGGGCTGGTCGGCTCCCCCCCGTGTCTCTTTCGCAGCCTCCTGAGGTCAGAGAGGGAAACTCGGCTCAGCCATCGGCCCCTGTGAGCTCTGCCCCGGGCCCTGAGCTGC